AAAATTTTCTCCAGAATCGGAGAAGTCGATGGCTTCTCCGGACAAATCACCTGCGGAGGAGCTGCCTCTACCCACCACGCCACACCCATCTTCACCACCTTCATATTCTGATCACACCGATCTTCAAAGTAACACATATTAGAAATCGATAGGTTTGAAAATTTTGAGAAATAATTTAAAAATTTACACGTTTTGAGTTGAATACGTGTTATTGTTCAAAGATATATATAAATAGAGAGAAAGATGGGTCGATTGTGAGAGTCGGACAAGTGGACGATCCATAATGAACTAAGTTGGGGTCTTGTTTACTATAATTATAAAATAATAATGGGAAAATTCTCAAAAAAACACCGGAACTTAGTTGCATTTGCTAAAAAAATACTCAAATTTTTTTAGCTACCCGATAAATACATCAACTATTTAAGATTGTTCTTTATATACTCAAATTTTTAAAATAGATTGGTTTTACTACCTCGACATTAACGGTGTCAATCTGACTAACGGAAGTTACTGTTTGCTACAGTACATTCTTCTTTCTCAAATCGATTTTGGAATTTAAGAACCCTAAAACCCCTAATATATGGGACATGCTTAACTCCCTTAAGCAAAACTCTAATACCAACACTAGTCTCCAAGCAAATATCACTCATGCCAGCAACTTTGGCCACTACATCATTATCCATCTTCACAGAACCATAACTACTTGGAGTATAGGTAGTGAACAAATTCCGCTGCGATGTAGCATGAGTAGTAACTCCACTATCAACAACCAAACTGGTGTCCTGGCATGCAACATTAATGGCATCACTCTCAAGAAGAATAAGAAACTGATCTTCGGTGACAATCACCCGATCTTCACCATCTTTTTGCTTCTTTCCAAGTTTGCTATCCTTTTTCAACTTCCAGCAATCCTTCTTCATGTGCTCTTTCTTATGACAATAATGGCACTCCAAGTTAGCAAATTTGTTAGATTTGCTCATGCTCCTGTTCTTGTTATATATGGGCTCTCTATATGAACTCCTCCCCTTTGACTCAGAAACCATTACATCTGAACGCGAGAAATTGGGACTAGACTTCCTCCTTACTTCCTCATTCAAGACACTGTTCTCACTAAGTCCATCGAAATCACACCATTCGACACGGAGTTACAAAGAGACATCGTGAACACCTCCCAAGAATCTGGTAATGTACCAAGAAGCCACAAACCGTMAATCTCATCCTCAAAKTTAATTCCCATGTCAGATAATTTARTGAGCAATCCCTGAAACGCATTCAAGTGATCCGCRATRGGAGTTCCCTCCTGGTACCTCAGCTCAATCAATTTRTTGATCATGTACATCTTATTATTCCCGGTCTTCRYAGCAAACAACTGCTCCAGCTTCTWCCACAAAGAACGAGCATCAGTCTCATTTTCAATATGATTCCTCACATTATCATCTACCCATTGTCTTATCAAACCACACACTTGACGATGTAGCAGTTTCCACTGATCTTTAGGTTTAGCCTCAGGTTTCTTCTCCTCGAAGACTGGAACATGAAGCTCCTTCACATAAAAGAGATCTTCCATCTTACCTTTCCAAATATGATAATTAGAACCATTCAAGCTGATCATCCTGCCCATATTTTTCATCGCTCACAAAGCAAACAACCAATAACCAAAGTTATCAAACCAGAAAGCTCTGATACCACTCTGTTGGGGAAAAACAATAAGCACCAATGGCGCAGCGGAATAAATTTCCCCACACTTATGTGAACCTGTGAGAAAAAATATAGAATACGGCACCAGCAAATCAAAGCAGTAAAGTAAATGAGACAACGAATTATTTTACGTGGAAAACTTCCTCGATGTGAGGAGTAAAAACCACGGGACCGTAGTGCACTCAAAAATCCACTAGATAAAATTTGAGTTACAACCACGTCATCCCTGTTCCCAAAGAACAGATCCAGAGACTAAGGCTCCAAAGAGCAATCTCCAACACAAGAAACACCACAAGAGAACAATACAAGAGCCTAGAAACAAGTAGTCTCAAACGACCCTAAATTCACTAGGATTCCGGTCACCAAATCAGATCTCCACCATAAAAATCCTAGATAAATAAGTCAGGAATATCTCTGCCAAATTTCAGCTCAATCCAAGAAGAATTCACTGTCGGATTTCTCAAACACTCAAGACAACACAGTCTGAAATCTGAACTCGCAACAGCAGCGAACAGCCTCGCTAAAACCCATATCTGCGACGAACCAACCGTTGAATATCAAGACCACTGAGTCACGAAGCTAACCCAAAAATTTCAGCCAAATCGGAGCATGTTTAAGCCTCCAAACGTTCTCTTGAACAAACTCTGACGAACCTGTTTTTCTCCTTTTTAGCCTACGAAAATTGCCTCTCTTCAATTAGTTTTTCCTTTCACCAAAATTAGGTTTGGAGTCATA